GGCCACGATCCTCGAGAGGGGTGTGCCGAAATGGAGCCTCGGTGGAGCCCCCTGTGGGGCCAGGGCCACGATCCGTGAGAGGGGTGCGCCGAAACCAAGCTTCGGTGGAGCTCACTGAGCCACGATCCTCGAGAGGGGTGTACCCAAATCAAAACCTCGGTGGAGCTCCCTGTGGGGCCAGGGCCACGATCCGTGAGAGGGGTGCGCCCTTTGGGGCCTGTATGGGGCTCCGCAGCAGTCCCGAAAGGACCTGCCGAGCAACGCCGCCGGGCCCTGCAGACCCCCACAGCGGCCTGGCGAGGCCTCGTGGCGTTGCTCGGACCAGGGGCCCTGCAGGGCCCGTGCGTGGCCCCGTGGTGTTGCTCGGGGGGGGGGGTCGAGCAACGGGCCTCCAGTAGTGTCCTCGCGAACAACAACAACAACAACAACAACAACAACAACAACAACAACAACAATCACTTTACCCGAACGCTCAGTGTTCTCACCAGTGCCAGGGTTTTCATGCGACGCCAGCCAATACCCCCACTTTGTGGGGGGGCAGTGCAAGCTCTACCAAATATCCACACGACTCTTCGCCACCACCCACACCCAGCTTCCCGCCCTATGACGTTCGGACACTTCACTTCGTGGCCTGCGGACGACCGTGGCTACTACACTGGCGTGGAGTACACACCCACAGAAGTTGTTAGGACAGCGCGCGCGGGTAGAAATTTTGAAAAGTCGTGCAGCTGTTTTTCGAGGACCTACGGTGCGATTCGTGTGATTTTATGATGCGCGGTGGTAAAATTCTTAAGAACCCAATGGTTTTTGGAGATTTCGGCGTGCGCGCGCGAAGAAAAAACGAATGTGTCCCGCATGGTATTATTTGACAGGGATGATGGCCCTGGCAGGTGCGCAACCGTTGTCGCAGAAGTTCGAAAAAGTTGCTCGCAAAAGCCCGTTTGACAGAAATGTTTAAAAAGTGTTGGGTTTCCTACGAATCCGCAAGAGCGCGCGGGATGAGATTTTGACATTTTTTTGTTGAAAAACCATTGGTTTTTTGATGTTTTTATGTTAAAATCGCTCCGAACACTAAGCTTTTGGAAGGATTTCGTCTTGCGCGCGCGAATGTCCACTTTACCTTATTTTTTGCAAGGATTCTTGAAATTTGATTATATTAGAACAAGAAATGTCATTTTATAGTGTTTTTTGCAAGGGAAAGCGGGGGGAAACAAAACAACCGGATCTTGATCACATCGAATTACCTGAGGCTTCCTCACGAAAATGATGAAAATGTAGCTGCGGCCTAGGCGGCGCAGGGGGGCCGTGCACCAGGGGCCCCAACAATAATTATTCTTTAGAATTAATAATGTTCAATCATTTTACCCGAACGGGGTGTTCTCCCAGTGCCAGGGTTTTCATACGACACCAGGCAATACCCCCACTTCGTGGGGGGGCATTCAAGCTCTACCAAATATCCAAACGACTCTTCGCGACCACCCAAACCCAGCTTCCCGCCCTATGACGTTGGGACACTTCACTTCGTGGCGTGCGGACGACCGTGGCTAATTGGTTTTTGGAGATTTCGGCGTGCGCGCGCAAAAAACGAATGTGTCCCGCATGGTATTATTTGACAGGGATGATGGCCCTGGCAACAACAACAACAACAACAACAATTACTAGCACGTGGGGACACTCCGTTCTCACCAGTGCCAGGGTTTTCATAGGAGGCGGGCAATACCCCCACTTTGTGGGGGGGCCGGTTCAAGCTCTACCAAATTTCCAAACGACTCTTCGCCACCACCCACACCCAGCTTCCCGCCCTATGACGTTCGGACACTTCACTTCGTGGCATGCGGACGACCGTGGCTACTATTCAGGGCCCCGCGGCCGACGACGACGGCGTGCGCGCGCGAAGAAAAAACGAATGTGTCCCGCATGGTATTATTTGACAGGGATGATGGCCCTGGCAGGTGCGCAACCGTTGTTGCAGAAGTTCGAAAAAGTTGCTCGCAAAAGCCCGTTTGACAGAAATGTTTAAAAAGTGTTGGGTTTCCTACGAATCCGCAAGAGCGCGCGGGATGAAATTTTGACATTTTTTTTTTGAAAAACCATTGGTTTTTTGATGTTTTTATGTTAAAATCGCTACGAAAACTAAGGTTTTGGAAGGATTTCGTCTTGCGCGCGCGAATGTCCACTTTACCTTATTTTTTGCAAGGGATTCTTGAAGTTTGGTTATGTTAGAACAAGAAATGTCCACTTTTTATTTTTTTTGCAAGGGAAAACCGATCGTAACAACACAACCGGATCCGGACCAACCCGTTTTGCCTGAGACTTCCTCACGAAAATGATGAAAATGAGGCTGCGGCCTAGGCGCGGCGGGGGGGTCGTGCACCAGGGGCCCAACAATAATTATTCTTTAGAAGTAATAATGTTCAACAACAACAACAACAACAACAACAACAACAACAACAACAACAACAACAACAACAACAACAACAATTACTAGCACGTGGGGACACTCCGTTCTCACCAGTGCCAGGGTTTTCATAGGAGGCGGGCAATACCCCCACTTTGTGGGGGGGCCGGTTCAAGCTCTACCAAATTTCCAAACGACTCTTCGCCACCACCCACACCCAGCTTCCCGCCCTATGACGTTCGGACACTTCACTTCGTGGCATGCGGACGACCGTGGCTACTATTCAGGGCCCCGCGGCCGACGACGACGGCGTGCGCGCGCGAAGAAAAAACGAATGTGTCCCGCATGGTATTATTTGACAGGGATGATGGCCCTGGCAGGTGCGCAACCGTTGTTGCAGAAGTTCGAAAAAGTTGCTCGCAAAAGCCCGTTTGACAGAAATGTTTAAAAAGTGTTGGGTTTCCTACGAATCCGCAAGAGCGCGCGGGATGAAATTTTGACAATTGTTTTTTGAAAAACCATTGTTTTTTTTGTTTTTTGTGCTAATTACGCTACGAAAATTTGAAGAAGGTTTTGGCGCGGCGCGCGCGAATGTCCACTTTACCTTATTTTTGCAAGGGATTCTTGAAGTTTGGTTATGTTAGAACAAGAAATGTCCACTTTAGCTTATTTTTTGCAAGGGAAAACCGATCGTAACAACACAACCGGATCCGGACCAACCCGTTTTGCCTGAGACTTCCTCACGAAAATGATGAAAATGAGGCTGCGGCCTAGGCGCGGCGGGGGGGTCGTGCACCAGGGGCCCCAACAATAATTATTCTTTAGAAGTAATAATGTTCAACAACAACAACAACACCAACAACCACAACCACAACCACAACCACAACCACAACCACAACCACAACAACAACAACAACAACAATATTCATGAAAATGACTCGCCAGATGAAGAAGCTCGCTCGGCCCTCGGCCGTCGATCATCGACGACGACGGGCAAAACGACCCCTCAGACGAACATGACGTCGACTACGGATATGGCTAGGCTAAAGGCGATCACCAAGGCCAGAATGACGACGACGCAGAAGATGCAGACGACGACCTCGACGACGACAACGACGCTGACGGCACATGCAGCCGAAACATGGTCACGAGAGCGCGGGTCAAAAAAATTGGCATCCCCTTCGATCTCCCAAAGCCTGAAACAGCATGGAGATACCAGGGACTAAAATCACTCCAGGGCGAAGGGCCCAAACACGAAGAGTCCAAGGGCACCCCTCCAATGCTGGGGTTGTTCGTGCCACTCGCGCCGGCTTAATGGCGACAAGACGACGAGGATAAAGACGACACGACACGACGCGACGCGACGCTGGCGACCAATTCGACCACCATGGCGAATACCCTCTCTTCCGACGTCCCATGTTGTTCGTGACATGATCCAGCGGGGTCCTGGACCCCTTCCCCAGGACCGGCTTTTCATCCTGAGACGTTTTGGTTGTTCCAGGGTCCGGGCAACAGCCTCCCGTGGTGGAAGAAAACGTTTAAGAGTAGGCCGGGCATGTCACCCTACAGAAGGATTTTGCAAGACAGACATTGGAAACAAATCAAATAATACAAAACAACATCAAATAATAGCCGACACATCGTCCCCAGACAATTGTTGCACCATTCTTGAAAATTCCTCCTGTGGAGGGGCATTCCCGACTTGCCTGGATCTGCAGATCCCCCTGCACCTGTTTTCAAGAACGCGCTGCGGACAAGAGCGGATGCAGCCGTGGCGACGGGGCGACCCCAGGACTTGCAAACAGAAGGCGGAACGTGTGCATCCTCGATGCTCCAACCGACCCAGAAACACAGCACCCCCGCACGTCCCGACCCTTTCCCCCAGGCCAGCTTTTCAGTCTGAACTGGAGCCTGTTTATTTCTAGATTTCAGGCAAGTTTGCTTGCATGGCGTTCGCCATCCCCCCCCCCTCGCCCTTCTTTCAAACGAATACTAGCGTGCAAGTGCCTTTCGACTCCGGTTCCCACTCCGGAGCCTTTTTTTGCTGTTTTCTGTCCCAGGGGGCCTGGCGACGGCCTCCCGTGGGGCCGAAAGCAAAAAATATCCAGCAGAGAGCTCCGGGGGTCGAACATTGGCTCCCTGGAGCTCTCGAGGGGCGCGCTCTGGCCAGAATCTCGGGCCGAATCCAGCCGTGGCGACGAGAAGCCCCCAGCCGGGTCGGACGGAAGGGGGAGATAGCAAAGGAGGGGTTGGCGAATCCTCTCACGTACCCGACCTCCCCAGCGCCCCCTGGCGGCAGGAGGCGCCCACGTATCGAGGAGAGCGCCCGGCGGCGGGGCCGAAACCAGCTGCGTGTGCGGCAGATGACGTACCCCCCCCTCTCCCGAGGAAGAAGGGACGGCGACGAGGGAGGGAGGAGGAAGAAGGAAGGCGGAGGGAGGTGGAGGGAGGAGGAGGGAGGGGAGAGGAGGAAGGAGGAGGAGGAGAAGGAGAGAGGAGGAGGAGGAGGAGGAGGAGGAGGAGGAGGAGGAGGAGGAGGAGGCTTTCGCACGACCCGAGGGCTGGCGACGGCGGCGCCGCCGGCGACCCTCGCCGCGCTCTCCTCGCCGTGCCGCGGGCACCGCGCGAGCGGCCGCGGCGACAGCTCCGAGCCAGAGGGCGTCGCGAGGAGCCTCCGCCCCAGCCTCGCGGGGCGCCGCCGACGACGACGGCGCCGCGCGCCGCGCGCCGCGCGCCGCCGACGACGCCGCCGCCGCCGACGACGACAACGACGACAACGACGACGACGACGGCGGCGGCGGCGACGACGACGATGGCGGCGGCGGCGGCGGCGGCGGCGTGCGCCGACGGTGTCGTGCGCCGCCGACGAGCAGCGTCGTGCGCAGCCGACGGCTGGCGTCGTGCGCCGCTCCCCGCAAGGCTCGGGAGGGCCGCGGGTCCCGCAGGGTGATTGCGTCTGTGACTCGCTGAAGGCTTGACGGCTTCTGCCGTCGCTCAGCTCGCGCCGGAGCTTCTGCGAGCTCATCAGACTCATGCAGACTTTGCCTCGCTGGATTTGTGTCGACTCGCTCAGGCATGCCTCGCTTTCTCTGTGTTGATCCCCACAAGCCGACTGGAGAAGAGTCGTCAACCCCTCAGGGAGCGCCCCAGACCTCCCGCTTTTGTTCCCTAGGCATGCCACGAGGGCGCTCCACCCGCGGCGCCAGCGGCCCTCTCTCGTGGCTGGTCCGTCGTGGGGGCCCACAGGAGCCCCTCCTCTCCTCGGCTGGGTCAGGGGTGGGCATCCTGGCGTCGCCTTCCGCCGGGCAGCTATACTGCGTGACCGTGCCCACGGACTCACAGTCGATTTACGACCTTGCAAGAGTTTCACGTGTTCCCACGATCAACGTACCAGATGTTGCACGTTGGAAGGAATCAGGATTTTGAAGGATAGCGGTTACGTTGATTCGCAGTGTTGACGTCCCAAGAATGGCGCTCTGGCACGATTCAGAATCGTCAAGACGCAAAATTCATGTTGATCCGTGGCATTGGAATCCCGAGAACAATGTTCTGGCAGGCTTCCGATGTTTCAGAAGGTTGTGAGAATGAGCCGTTGTAGGGGCCTGTGAAGAGGGAGCTGTGAGGGAGGGTTGATTCCAACATGGTTGATGACTCTTGGGTTTGCACTGGTCCTCCTCCTCTTCCTCCTCATCATGAACTGTTCTTTGACGGCCCCACGGCCTGGCAAGGGGGCCGACTTGTTCGCGAAGCGGGGGGTCAACTTGAATGAGTGAACGACTCTGTGGTCAACGCGATGGGTATTACTGCTGTCTGCCTGCGCAATTACACTCTACCCACACAGGCCAAACCACCATTCCGTAATCTACAATGCGCTTGACCAAACATCCCACACTGCCACGTTCACCACTATCTCTTGGTGAATATTCTGATGTTTGAAATTGATCTTGCACATCCGCTCAACCACCAGCCGCAATCCACTCCGAGTGAATACATGATTTTTTTTTGTCACCAAGTGAGCAAGGGGGGGAGCGTTCCTGTAACCTGGAGGTGGGGACCCCGAAACCCGGGAGGGGTGAGAGGGGCCCCGTGGGCCCTGTGGTCCGGGGACACGCTCTAGCGGCCTGCAATGCAGGGGAGGGTGCGTGGACCACCCTTCGGGAAAAGGCTTCTGCAGTCATCGCGTTGCCATGGGGAACGCTGCACAAGGAACGACAAAGCTGTTCCGCCCACGGCAAGCCTCGGCCACGACTTACCAGTCCTCCCGATCGAGATCGACCGAGCGCCACGAAAACCCGAGCCCCTCCCGAGGTCAAAACGGTCCCAACCTCAACGCGTGTGCCGTGTGCGCGGGCTCCGCCCGCCGTCCAGCCCCGGCCGGGCGCCTCCGCGCCCGCTCTTCGTGCGCGCGGCGCAGCGCCTCGTCGGCTGGGGGCGCCGCCAGCGAAGGCTCGGACCTGCTGCCGCCCAGCATCGCGAGGCGTGCCGCCGCGGGGGCGGCGCCCCCGGGCCGGGGGCGGAGGGCGGCGATGCGAGGCGGGCCGCTGGGAGGCAGAAAAGGGAAGGGGAAGAAGGAGGAGGAGGAGGAGGAAAAGGATGAGGATGAGGAGGAGGAGGAGAAGGAGGAGAAGGAGGAGGAGGAGGAGGCGCGAGGCTGACGTGATGGTCCGCGCGCCTGGCACGTACGCTCCCCAGCCGCGCGGCACTCGTGCCAGAGCCTGGCGCCGAGGGAGGCTGCGGGGCTTTCTGCCTTGGAGGACACGGATCGTCCAGCCCGCCGTGCGATAAATGGCACGCGGCAGTTCGATCGAATGTTTCGTCGAAACTTCGTAAAGAGCTGAAAAGACCCAGATCATCCACGACCAAGGACGTTGGGTAACGGGTTTCGGTCGCGTCACATGTCGGTCGCGAACAGAGGGGGCCAGCTTTCGGCAACAAGAAGACGGTGCGTCGGGGTCCAAGCGAGGGTTTCGATCAAGTCGACGGCCCACTCGTTGCCGGATGCCGAATTTCGGTCGCGACCCGGGATGTCCAGAGCGTCGCCAGGAATTTCCGCTGTTGGATGTCCAGGGGAGGGGGGGTAATCTGTTGCTGTCAATGGGCCTGTTCCCATCTCATTGCACGCACGCCGCCGCAAGTAGACATCTTGCTGAGGAGCGCTCCAGAGAGAACGCGAAACGATCCGCGCACCGAAAGCTGACGCACCTCTCCCTCCAATCAGCCAAAGCTGGAGGTACACCCCCAGTGAGAACCTGAGGCCCGCTTAAGCGAACAAGCGATCCTCCTCAAACGCCACTTGTCGGGGTCAGGATGGTCACTCCTCCACAAATTACAAACCTAACGGGGAACCTATCGTACAGAAAATCTTTCGAAATAGGTGTCAAAGCTGGTTGGTGTCCCCAATGGCGGGAACAAGGATCGCAGCTTCCCCGGTCGTGGCTGGCCTGCAGCGGGCAGCGCGCGGCTGCCGAAGAGCGACTTCCCCGAAAACATCGGAGGATCCTAGAACACATTCTTCGGAGCAGCCCGCAGGCAGCTCCCCGTGGGCCCGAGACGCGGACAAACCTCCGAAAGCCTCCGCCCTAGGCGTGCCCCAAGACTGGCGTTTCATCCCGCGGCGTTGTTTCACAGTCCCGGGGCCCAGAGATGGCCCTGGAGGCCAGAACACCTGACAAACATAAAACCCTTCCTGCCTTTTCCTGGTGCGGGCGGGTAAGGAAAGTCAACAAGGCGCCTGGCACTGCGCCAACATGGGGGGGGGGGGGGGGGCTTGGGCCCGCGATGCGCCACGCGCTCTTTGCCGCGCGCTCCTGGGCGGCGGCGCGCGGGGTATCTTCCCCCCTTCCCCAATCGCCCAATGCCCAGCCTCGCCCTGCCCAAAGCCGGGGCAGGCTAGATTCAGGGCCCTCTTTCTCCAGGACCCCTTTCCTTCACCGCGGCCCCGCAGACGGCTCCCGAAGGCATTGTGCACTCCTGGCGCCCCCAGATGGCTCCCATCCTACCACCTGCGCGCGCTCAGCGAGGGCCGATAGGGAGCCCGAGGCTGGACCCAGCATGTGCCACAAGCCAATCGCATCACGAGTCAGCTCCAGGATGGGCTTTAAAGCAGCCCCGAGCGCAGAGATGCGCCTCTGTGACGAGTAGTCCTGTGATGGCGTCAGGTGATTTGATATGCGGATCAGTAGCAAGGAGCGGGATGAGCCTGGCCAAGTCATCGGAAGATTTACGCTGAACCTCACGCCCCCCCCAAGCGTACCATCAGGAGGGGTTCGTCAGGCGCCCCTTTAGCCGCGGTCAAGCTAGTGGCATGAAGTGTGAGTTGCAAGCAAAGGACTGCTTTGCGCAATTCCGCTGGCGTGGATGGAGCGTCGCAGTATTCCCTGAACAACTTGAGACGTTTCTGGCTTTCCGTGCGCGGCCGAACAAAGGTCGTGGCAAAGACCATACAGTACCTGATATCAGAATATCAAGATGGCGTTGAATGACCAGCGCCTCTCGCAAAACTCTCCTCAAGGCGTTTTCGTTCATCCGAATCCCATGGCCAACAACCAAATGTACCACCCGCGCTCGTCTGCACCCATGTCTGTGGCCAACCAAACCTCCCTTCAACTCCACAATGACGACCATTGCCATCAGGAGGATGGCGAATGCAATCATGTTGCCGCCCTTCCTCCCCAGCGCCTGCCGCTCCGTGAACACCTCGATGTCTTTACCATCGCAAATGGCGTGCACCACGTTATTTTGAATGCTCGATGTCCGGCCCCGGGTGGGCACGTTCAGCTTGCGCGCCTCCTCCGCGAAGAACTTCAACCGGATGAGCGCCTCATCGTGTACAGGTTGAATGTAGATCGGGCGTGTCTCGGCGCGCAGCTGCTCTCTTTACCAGGCCGCGCCTCCCTGGCGAGCCGTTGGCAACTCACGTTTGTTTAATACCTTGATCTGCTCTACAAAACCATCCCTGACAGCGCCAATGCACTGATGCGAAGTGCCCTTGGATTCCTCAGGAGGGAGATCTGCTCAGAGATCCTGGAGCGTGCGAGCTGAGATCGCAGGGCAAGACAGCCCCACACTCACGAACCACAGCGTATGGATTTGCCCACGGGAGCGCTCCACGAGGGTGTTTTGCTATAGCTGCTCTGCCTCAATTCGCTGCTTTTTGTGGTACCGAATCGATCTCTCGTAACTCAGTGGCGTTCGAAACACATTGCTGCCGCCCGCGGCACCATGGGGGAAATCGAACTCTTCAGCTAAAGAGTTCTCAAACTCAGTCATCGCAGAAACGGTCGTTGGATACGCTTCCGCGTCCAACGTCATTTTTCTTGTTTTTCCTAGCGCAGCTAATGCATGAACAACTTCGTAATTTCAGCCAGACATGGCGATGTGCCCCCCCGCAGAGTTATGGCACTGCGTTGCCGCGCGGGGCCCTGCACGGCCCCCCGAATCGAACGAGGACCCTTGAGCCGACGTGCCTCCGGATGTTATCGGCATGACGACGGCATGCATGTGATCAACATGACTATGGTGTGTACGTATGTACGTGGCGGTGGCCGAAGATGACGTATATACAATTTCCAGTTGTTGCGGGGCCCGGAGGGCAAAGCAGGGGCGCGGCGCACAGCGGGGGGGGCATCGTCACACGCATCCGCCTCGCCCTCCCGCACCACGCACCCCCGGAGAGGGAGGGATG